CAGAGTTGTCTACCATCCATAAATATCACTTACACATCGCGATAACCGTGGCCACGGTTGAGTGCCACTCCTTAAGTTGAGCCGGACAGCGTGGCCGTAAAGCGCGTCGTCGAACATTTACCTCGGCTCGTAAAAAGCCCGCGCCTCCTTCCCGTGTCCTTGCACCCTTTTCCGCTTTAACCACGGGACAACGCATTAGCCGGATCGTCGGACCTTGCTCGGGTTTATTATTTAACGCGCGAGGCCGATCGATGATCCTTGCACGGGGCCCCGCCGCGGCTGGCTACACAGCTGAGGGACCGTGCGTCGCGAAGTTGACGGTCTAAAGTATTAATACGCGAAACGGCACGTGGAATTTAATGGCTTCCGGTTTAAGGAGCGCAAGATGGAGGTCAGAATGCTAGATTACAATATTAAAATGGCGACCGCGCTGAATTATTCGCCGTTTAATCTTCCTCACTGACTACTTCCGCTTTAATATGCGATATCCTGGCTATGCTGTGGTTTTTAATTATTAGTTCTATTAGGTACGGTTGGGACTTTTTAACGCATGGTGACTGGTTTCGAGATAGTTAAATAAGCGGAAGATTGAAAGATATGGAGACTCTGGCAGCTGCCTTTTGGTGATTGACGATCAAAGGTCGTCTTTGAAGGTTCATCTTTGAAGCGTTGAAAATTGGACGCACTTACAGTATCGCTATTTAGGGAGCATCGCTTCGACCCCTTTGCACTCGAGGGAACCCCTAGTAGCCTTTTATTGTTAACAAAATTACGAGGACTGATGGTTCCAACGTCATCTGTCTCAAATCACCTAAACCTATATTTATTTCCTATATTTTCTAATAAATAATAATTAGCACCACTGGACCAATCATATAGTCAGACAATTTTCCAATCTTGACTCTTTTCAGAGGCTCACTCCCAGACACAAAGTACAATACACGCTACTTCTCTGTAATCTCGCTAGACCTAGGCTGCAGAAACTCGAACACGGTCTGCTATAATTCCATTATTTCACGTCGTCATTCGAATGGCGCTGCTCGCAGTGGAAGGCCTCGAGCTATCCGCCTGTTCCTGATATTTTCGACCCTTTTATCAAATTAGCCAACGCTCCACCCACGAACTGGCCCTGCTCCCTAGTCGTGACTCGGTAAAAACGTTTGTCCTGTCATTAGGACCCTTCCAGCGTCTTGTCGAATTTCCACGGCTCTGTCATCGCGAACCCCATCGTTTCCATCCCCGCTTCCGCCGCGACGTTCTCAATGTACCCAGCCGCGCCGCTAATTAAGGGAAACGCGAAAGGTTAACCCCTTACCCCTGCCTCGTTCTAATACGGCGGCAAGAAACCGCACGTGTACCTCGAGGTTAACGCTCAACTACCGCGAACGCTTTGCTTTCAATTAAATAATGACGGTTTAACGTTCGTCGACGCATTGTTCCGCGCTGTTACCCCACAGGCTGAGGAGGAGAACAGAGGCGACGTGAGACGAACTCAGGGTCTCCTCGTTGGTTTGTTCGTTGGTTGCTTGGTTTTCATGAGCGGGATTGCAGGTATTAATTAGTGGATCACAGGCAATTGCAGGTTGAAGAATAATCAGCACTTGTGGGGGTATCGCGGACATGATTAACCCCTTGGTCTACGCGCTATCTCCCGATTGCACGGACCATAGTAAACAAGAAGATCAATCGTGTTTTGTCTGAACTTAGGCAAAATGTATAGTTCTTACGACATGTATATTTCGGCGCAACGAAGTACCATAATTTTGAGTTCTGCGTATTGTTAACCCTTTCACTACGGTGGGCGTCATCGCGGAGTCCCTCCCGTAGAACGAAGCGCCGTGTCGAGGGTGGGAACATTAGACACGTGTAGTCTTTAGCATTCGTGGTTAAGTCTCTTGGGAAAAGAAAGAAAAAGAAAAAGGAAAACCGATCATCGTAATAGCGTTTGCAGTTCTTTGCAAAGAGAGCTAAACGGAACGGGAGCATTTGTCTTAATTTTTCGTTCAAATTTTGTGTCGGTGACTATAGTCACCCATTGTGTGTAGATGGCGTCCCGTGATCGGTGACTATAGTCACCCGTTGTGTATAGGTAGCGTTCCGTGGTCGATGACTATAGTCATCCGTCGTGTGTAGGTAGCGTTCCGTGGTCAATGACTATAGTCACCCGTCTTGTGTAAATGGCGTCTCGCGGCTGGTAATTATAGTCATCCGTTGTGTGTAGATGGCGTTTCGTAACCGGTGACTATAGCCACCCGTTGTTTGTAAATGGCATCCCGTGATCGGTGACTATAGTCACACGTCGTGTGTAGGTAGCGTTCCGTGTTCAATGACTATAGTCACCCGTCTTGTGTAAATGGCGTCTCGTAACCGGTGACTATAGTCACCTGTTGTGTGTAGGTGGCGTCTCGTAACCGGTGACTATAGTCACCCGTCGTGTATAGGTAGCGTTCCGTGACCAGTGACTATAGTCACCCGTAGTAACGAAAGGATTAATGACGCAAACTCTTCACGTGTCAGACTCGTGGTTTTCGCGTATGACACAAATTCCTCACCACGAGTTAGACTCGTGGTTTTCGCTTATGACACAAATTCCTCATCACGTGTCAGACTCGTGGCTTTCGCTTATGACACAAATTCCTCATCACGTGTCAGACTCGTGATTATAGGCCAAAGGGTTAAAAGAGATTTCAGAGATTAGAAGAGAGGTTGGTGCCACAGTTGTGTGGTGTGATTGAATTGTAGGAGTTAGTTTTGGGACTAGGGAAGTTGGAGGTGTGGCTTTCGTCGTGAAGGATGTTTGTCAGGTGAGGGTGATTGGTTAGGACGCGGCTGTTTATGTAATTGCTTTGGAGAGATTGCGTTGTGGGAGCTTAATTTTGGGTGACTCGTTGTTTGCAAATTGAAGGTTAGATAATTGTGAACAGTTGTTTTTATGAGCGGTTTCGAATCGTTGGTAATATTCAATTGTTTCAATTGAAATGAAGTGCTGCGAGGGATTAACTTTGGATGACTGGATTTAAATGATTGTCCCGATTGATTCGATCGAAATAGTTGCTATTGAGAGATATTTTTGAATCAATGCTTCGTTCGAATGTTGCCTAACGATTGATCTTAATGGATCGATTTTCGAACGAATACCTCGAATGTTGTATAACCGATTGATGTTGCTTGATTTGCGTCGAGAGATTATTTTTGAGTGATTGCTTTCAGCCTGATTTCAAATAACTCTTGTTAGAGAAATTATAGCAATTAGAGTAATTTTGAATGCTCGATTTCGGAATATTTAACGAACTATAATTTATAGTTCAAAGTAGCGACGAAGATGGAAACGTGAAAAGTCACGATCCTTTTATTATTTTTTTTTTTCTACTAGAGAATTTTTTGAAGAGGAAATGTTTTTCTCGTTGTCCTGTTGGAAGTGGAAGCCTCTTCTTCCCGGTGAACTCGTAATGGATTTTTTCAAATTTCCAGAGTTACAATGCAAACTAACGAGTCGATGGTACCTAACCGTACGTAGGGTTACTCGGTGTGCTAGTCGATTGCCGAACAATCTGGAATTTCCCTTTATTTAGGACCAGTGGTCGTATCGTTCCGTGTTTCGAAACAATTTGAGTAATTTCGATCATGATAGTTATAGAGAACGCGTGAAATTCCACATAAGAAATTGCTATACCCCAAAATTTCGTACTAACTACTTTTCAATTCCTTTTCTTTAAAATAAGGAAAAATAAATTCTATCCTAGTGAGTCAAATTTTATTTCTAGTAACTTAAATTTCTCGTAAAGATTCTGTTAAATAAATTATATCATTGTATAATAACATTAAAGCAGAATATACACATTCACCAGCAGCATTTATAAAGTATATTAACTTTTGGCCATATTTTTTGGTAAAATTGTTAAAAATTCGATTCATGGCAATGAAATCGCTATACATAATTTTAGTTTGACTTCGTGTTTTCTCTTCTCACGTTGTTCGAGTCATTTCAATGATTTCTTTATTAATCATTTTCATTATTCCTCACGATTATCGTTACACCGACTATGTTCCTTTTTATTTCCTTACTTTTATTCCCAGGCGAATATTGAGACAGAACGAGTAATGCAATATCGTGACGCCATTAAACGATATAACGCACCCTTTATTTCGAGCCGGGGTTGTTTTAGGGATAAAACAAGAAATATCATATCGTTAAATGGAATGCACAAAAATGAAACCGCGTCACACGACGCGATGCTCGTTTAAAAAAGGGACAAAAATTCTCCTCTGTTTTATTCGTAAACGACTATCCTGCATTCAAAATCAATTGGCTCAAATGAAAAGCTTAAATAAAAGAAAATATATTAACGTCAATGATGAAAATAAAATTATTTTCTGCAATAATATGGCACTTGGGCTAACAATTAAAAATATTATATCGCAACAAAATGATAGGACACCCTATAATTACAATGGAAAATCGATTTCTTCGACGAAACAAAAATTACAAATTTGTTTCAAATATAAAACGTCAAATATCAAATAAATGCTCTAGCATCGAAATTTCACAATTAAAAAATTCCAGGATTATATCCGTAAAGTTACAAAATAATTCAACGATATATACATATCTACGGATATATCTCTGTTGTAGATACGGGTCGCGGTGGCGCTAGTGAGTTAAGCGCAGAGCCGTCTTAAGACTGCCGAAACGCTCTAGCGCGTTTCTCTCGTGAAAGATATAAAACAATCCCACGAAATCGAACTCAATCCTCGATTTACCAATTACACGATCTTCAGATTTTCAGAGAAAATCACAGTGTCCTCTATCATTTTGTCCGCGCGAGTAGCATATAATCGCACTAGATTCGTCTGGAAATTGACATCGCGTAGACGTTTTGCATCTCACCGTTACCGGCAGGCGGCCAATCGGGACGCGTGTTAAGACGGGCAAAAGATGATCATGCTGAAAAGGAAAACGGCGGAACGTGCTCGTGCACAGATCGATTCACGTTACTGACCTTGTTAGGCGGCGCTTGGATCCCGTGGAACGGCAGGTTCTCGTAGAACGTCTTCGCCCCGGACTCCGGAAGGCCCTCCGACACGCTGTTCACGTGATTGTTATTCGCAGCTTGATTGGGATCTGTAAGCGCAAACGAAACATGACTTTGCTGTAATTAAACGGGGACACGTGACGTGTCGACTATTCCCGCGAGACTTACTCGGGAGAAATAGAGAAAGACAGGGAGAGATATAGAGACAGAGATAGAGAGAAAGAGAAAGAGAGAGAGAGAGAAACTGTGTGTGTGTGTCCCTTCGCGAAGAAGGGTTCTATGGTGGGCTGTTCTCAGAGTGGAAACGGAAGTCTCTGGTGCACAGGGTAAAGGCGAGAGCCGAGAGACAGACAGAGACAACGAGAGACAGAGAACTGATTTGATAAATATTCAGGTGTCATTGCAAACGCTAGAATAAGTGAGTGGCTATGTCTAGTACTAAGGAAATTGTAACGGACTAGGGGAATATATCTGGCCCCTCTTGATTGCTGCCTCACTCTCCTGCCGGTGGCTAGCACACGGATCATGGCTCTCGTTCTGATAGTCAAATTTCAATTGCAAAGCAACTACCGTGGCTTGTATTTTAGACGCTGATTAATAATTTCCTTTTAGCGGTTTTATTCTTCGCGTTGCAGTTGAATCGAGAGTTTCACGGGTTATTTATTGGTTAACACGATGGCTGCCATGGAAGGTTTATAAGTATTTATTTTAAAATCCATATTTTATGATTTATCCAAATTTCACATAAAATATTACACGTTTCCTTTAAAAGACTGAAGGAGATCCTAATATCTTGCTAACAAAGTAAGGTAATAATAAACTAAAATAAATCAGAACACTGTATGCCCCATTAAACAACATGCAAATTTTGTCTGAAACATTTCTTCCTTTCAGCAACGAATAATTTATGAATTTTAAGATTAAAACTTGAGTTAAAAGACTAAAATTATATTTTAAGATAGACTCATCTATCCCTGTATCTTATTTCTAGGGGATCAATATGGAATTTTTGTTATTTTAAGCGTATAATGGCCAGATAATAAGAAGTCTGATTATATAGGAGCTGTTCACAGCACAAGTCGAATAACTCCACTTTTTGAAGAATCTTAAATTTATGTGTCAAAGCACTTGGTATAGTCATAACTTCTTATATTTAAGATTAAAGTGGAGGAATGCAGTGAAATAATGTAGTTATGACTATACCAAGTGCTTTGACACTTAAATTTAAGAATTTTCTGAGAGTGGGGTTAATTGATTTCTGCAGTGAACAGCTCATAGGGTGAGTGTAGTAAGTGGCTGTATGTCTGTTCTATACATATCTTTGGATCTATGTTACTAGTGATAGGACCTTGTAATAATATAGTTTTCTAATACAGTGTATGTTGTCCAAAATTTGCTAATAAATTAAGCAAGCTCTGTCACTGATAATAACCCTAGGCCCAGTTATTAACTGAGAAGGTAAGTTCCAATTGCAGGAGATCAACATGGCAGTCAAAGTGTTGACACAAAATATTTGCACAAGTATCGTATTTACAGATGAATTAAAATATTCTTATAATTTTATCGCGGGTACTCGCGTAATTACACTAAAATTCGACGATCAAAATCTCATTTATCTCATTTAACATGTCATTTATATTCACTTTGCAAAATTGCAGTTACTGCTCAAAATTGGAAACCGAAGACATGCGAATACTTCACAGTGACTTATTGCACATATACATATATCTTCGCAACGATATTTCAACAATCGTCTCGATCCGTTTTCCCCCTTTCTTCCCTGATAATTGAATTAGAACGTTTTCGCGCAAAGTGCTTTCACGTGACGCTGCGCGAAGCTTTAATTACGCAAATAACAATCATCTCGTAGTCATGTATCGTAAATACGAAGACCGCGTGTATACGCGTTGCGTGTTGTTTGCGCGCGAATGTTTATACGTACAGGATTTATAACGAACCAACAATGAGATTGAATCGCAACGGTTTCGCGTGCAAATATTTCGTTTCTCTATTCGATCCCATTTCACCTGCAAAAGTGAAAAGAAGGAAGAAAAATATCAAAATATTTCCTGCCATTTAATTAGAGGGTTGGCCAAAAAATAATTCTGTTGCTTCTTGGTAATTATATTGGTAATTATTACTTCGTTTCAAGCGAGAAAGGATTGCTTAATAATTGCTATTAGAAATATTCAAGATTAAGAGAATTGCTTGGTACAAAATTGTAAAAAAGGGCACGTCAATTGTGAAAAATCTAACAATTTGATAAAAAAGAATTTATTAATAATTGCAATTAGAAATATTTAAGATTAAGAAAATTATTTGGTAAAAAATGGTAAGAAAAAGGCAAACCAATTGTGAAAAATCTGATAATTTGATAAGAAAGGATTGATTAACAATTGCAATTGGAAATATTCATCATGAAGAAATGCTTAATAAAAAATGATAAAAAAAGGGTGCCTTAACTGTGGAAACATCTGACAATTTGATAACAAAGGATTTGTTAACAACTATGATTAGAAATATTTAAGAAAAATTATAAGAAAATTGCTTGGTAAAAATGGTAAAAAAAGGGTACAGCAACTGTGAAAAAATCTGACAATTTGATAAAAAAGGATTTATTAATAATTGCAATTAGAAATATTCAAAATTAAGAATTGCTTTATATAATAGTGAAAAATGGTAAGAAAAGGGCACGTCAATTGTGAAAATATCTAACAATTTGATAAAAACTTTGCAAAAATCTGACGCTTTAATAATATATAAGGAACATGAGTTAATTTGAAGATTTTGATTCTTTTTTAAACATCGTGGGTTTTACCTCAAGAGATGCAAATTATTGTATTTTTTTAACGACGTATTTCTGCTCATCTGCATATTTTTAAAATTATTGTAGCCACGGGGAAGTGCTTTTATACTTTCTAAAATTATAACAACGGGATAGTAAATATTTTTTACTTAAATAAATAATTTTTCATTACTGCCACTATATGATACTTCAATTTTTCTTATTACCAGAAACGTAGTTCCACTTCGTTCTTTTATCGCGATGAACGAAGATGAGTGTACTTTTTCAGTTGCAGAAATTGTAGCTAGAATTGTGTAACTGTGCATGAGGGATGATAAAAACTGAACAGTAGATTCCACATTTTTCACACTTCTTCCGGCTACCCTGCGTCCTGAATGTATTTTTAATTGAAAGCCACTCTTCCCTGCGTTATGGATCTTATCTTCAGCGAAGTTCCTTATAAACCATGCACTATACTCGATAAGTTTAACGTACACGGTCATATTTATAATTTTAAATAAATTTTTCACAACCGAAAAAGAATATTGTTTAATAGCAATTGCGAGGAATCTTTTATTTAAATAAAAAAAGGAATCTAAGAAACAAATTTTAATAAAAATATAAAATATCGTTTAATAGCAGTAGTGACGAATTTTTTATTTAATACTGATCCTAAAATCTAATTTACAACTTCTCTGGAGATCCTCAAGAAGTTGAAAAATTTTCCAAAAATTTCAAAAGAATCCGAATTTACGAATTGCTTAATGTATTTCCTGGCCAATCCAATACTTCTGAGTATTTTCCAAAAAAGCACATGATAAATATTGCTGATCGTGAAGGGGTAGCTATATCGTTTTGTCCAAAATAAAAACTCTAATATACAACTTTTCTGAAAGTCCTCAAGAAGCCCAAAAATTTCTCAAAAATTCCAAAAGAATCCAAATTTTCGAATTGCTTAATATATTTCCTGGCTAACCCAATACTTTTAGGTATTTCCCCAAAAAGCACATAATAAATTTTGCTGATCGTGGAAGGGTAGCTATATCGTTTTGTCAAAAATAAAAAATCTAATTTACAACTTTTCTAAAAGTCCTCAAGAAGCCCAAAAATTTCTCAAAAATTCCAAAGGAATCCGAATTTTCGAGTTGCTGTATTTTCTCTAATGTATTTTATGGCCAACCCGATACCTCTGAGTTTCTTTTTCAAAAAAACACGATAGATTTCGTGGAACGTGGAGGAATAGTTGTATCGTTAGATCGGAAAAGAGCGTATTGAAGCAGTATTTCCCGCTGCTACTCGTTTCGTCCGTTACAACGATTCCATTATCAAAATGAATCGTTTAATTAAACGGTACATACCGCGGATGGTGATCCCGGGATCTGCTACGGACTACAATTTCCTTTTAAACAGAGGCGGGAAATATTCAGCCGGGTGAAATGTTATTTTTGACCACGGATGCAGAGCGGGCTTGTAATTTGTACGCGGATCGTAAATTTTCGATGCTTCAAGTGTAGGTACGTTCCCAGGAATAATCGTTTTATAAGGTACCTCGTGATTTTTGTTACGTTTTGTTCCCTTCGAGCTTCTGTAAACATCGCGTTTTATAGTGATTATAACACGAGGCTGTTTCTTGGAATTAAATGTAATTATCGCATCACGCGTGTATTTAGAAATTTGACAATTGCGAATGGAAACCGGTAATTGTACTGCGAGATCTATCACGGCAGTTTTCTCTCGTTCGATGAATTTTTTAGCACGAAAGTACTATACTTTGTGTTTATATCACTTAGGTATTTTGATTATTTTAAGGATAAGATTTAATGCGATTAATTCTTGATATGTTAAATATATTTTTGGTATTCGCAAATGTAATTGCTACTAAATTCTGCTTGAATTTGCTATTATTGCATTATTGCATTATTGCATTATTGCATTATTGCTATTATTGCATTCGATTGTGTTCGTGTTAGTATAGATTATCCTAGATTGACACAATTTTAAAGGAGAAAGTGTTATGGAAAGACTATATTTTCCGCATTTTTATTTTAGAGCTCCGTGAAGTGTTTTGTAGATAATAAAGCATGATCATATTTAGTATTATTATATTGAATATTAAAAAAGTTATAGTCTGTTATATTTACGTTTGTATTTCTCGTTTTTTATTTTATAATAGGGACTTTGCAATCAATTTTTGCAAGAAAATTTTTAGCAAATTTGACAACTCGAAATGTTGACATGGGTAGTAATTTAAATTATTGATTACAGTAGATATATAAATATTCGCATTTCTGCATGTTCGTTTAA